ACAAAAGCCACATGTAGAACTGTGGTTCAAATGGTAGAATGCCAGCCTTGAACATAAAAGCTAAGGACAAAGCCCAGGACCTGAGTTCAGCCCCAGTGCTGCCTTCTCTCCAAAAAGTAATGTTGGACCATACTTGGAATGAATGTTTAACGATTCAAAAAGTTCAAAATTATCTTTCAAAGAGATGGTATAATTGTAAACTCACATCAGCAATATTAACAGCTGTGGTTCCCTGTCCTCAAACAGTTCTGTCAGTCTTTTTAGTCATGCCGGTGAATATAAAATATTATCTCACTATAGTTTAATTTACATTTCCTTGATAACTTGAAATGTTAAGTAACTTGAAATGTTATATCTTTTCATATGGTTATTGGTAATTTATACAGGGTCTTCTGCAAATTTTCTATTCATGTACTTTTTTTCTTCTTCCTTTATTTTCTTTTTTGTGCCAAAACCTGGGCTTGAACCCAAGGCCTAGGTACTGTTGTTGAGTGTTTTTACTCAAGGCTGGCATTTGAGCCACAGCTTTACTTCCTGCTTATTGATAATTAACTAGAGATAAGAGTCTCACAGTTCCCTGCTTGAGCTAGCTTCGAACTGCAACTCTCAGGATTATCACAAGAACCTGACAACAATGAATCTTTTATAGTTACTACTTACTATTTTCTATATTTTATAGCACTCTATCATTGTCTTTTGACTTTTGCCACCAACTTACAGTGTTCCCTGAATCCCTGTTAAGTCATTTTTCTTTAGCAACTTTAAATTTTTTCTCCTTGTAATTTATCACCACTTTAATTACATATCTAGATGTGGTTTTCTAAATTCTCAAACAAAATGATTGAATATTTAATTATTTAGTAATTAAATTTATCCTGCTTAAGATACGAGAAGTCTCCTTTTTCTGAACACTGCATTAAAGAATTATTCCAGTCTCACTATAGGCTCATGCCTATAATCCTAACTACTCAGTAAGCTAAGATATGAGAACATGGTTCAAAGCTAGCCTGAGAAGGAAAGTCCATAAGACTCATCTCCAATTAGTTGCCAAAAAAGCCTGAAGCAGATCTGTGGTTCAAGTAGTAGAGTGCTAGCTGTGATTGAGCAAGCAAGTTCAGGGATAGAGTCCAGGCCCTGAGTTCAAGCAAAAGTGTATATTTATTATGTGTATATACAGGAATATATTTACATGTACACACACACACACACACACACACACGCTGCCAAACTAGTAATCATCGTTTAAAAAAAAACTCAGAAATTTACATTAAGCCATGTGCTAAATGATCACCCCTATGATCCTGGCTTCCTGGGAAGCTGAGAATTGTGGTTCAAAACAGCCTAGCAGAAAAATCTGAGACTCATTCTATCTACAATTAACCAGCAAAAAGCCAAAAGTGTCTCAGAGTGCTGGCTCTGAGCAAAAAAGCCAAGGGAGAAAGAGAGGCTGAGTTCAAGACCCAGCACCAACACTGTAAAATAATAAATAAATTCAGTGGTAAAATGTATGCCTATGAGCTCAAGACCCTGAGATAAGTACTCCCATTTTTTTTCAAAAATACTTTTATATAAGAAAAGGTACAATTTCAGTGATTTTCATTGTAGTTGCAAGGTACAACCATTATCACTTATCTAATTTGATAACATTTTCACTATCCATCACAAGAAGAAATGAAGAAATGCTAGGCCCATTAGCATAAGCAGCTTCCTGTGCTGGGAATGTGGCTTGGTGGTACAGTGCTTGCCTAGCATGCATGCATGAAGCCCTGGGTTCCATTTCTCAGTACCACATAAACAGAAAAAGATGGAAGTGGCACTGTGGCTCAAGTTGTACAGTGATAGCCTTGAGCAAAAGAAGCTCAGAGACAGTGCCTGGGCCTGAGTTCAAGCCCGGGACTGGTTAAAAAAAAAAGACAGCAGTGTAAGCAGCTTCCTGTGCTGATCTTCCTCCAGTCCCTAAAAACCACAAATGTGCCATGTATGGATTTGCCTATTCCAAATATCTAATAGAAATGAACTATACAATATGTAATTTAGTGAATCTTCCTTCATTTACTTAACATGTATTCATGTTAAGTTGGTAGCCTATATCAGTAATTCATTGCTTTTCATGAAAGAAATGTATCATGGAGTTCCATTGTATGACATATATTTCATTGACTCACTTATCAACTGATGGACATTTGGTCTATTTCTACTTTCTGCCCACTATGAATAACAACTATTAGCATACAAAGACAAGGTTTGGTGTGAACTTGTTTTCAAATCTATTGGGTATATTACTAAGTAGAACTAATGGGTCACAGGCTAAATCAATATTTAATCACTTGAGGACATGCCATAAGGGCTGAAGTTGCATATTACCAGCAGTACTTCGTTAAGGTTCTAATTAGAACACACCCTCTCTCCAACTTGTTATTATCCATACTTTCTTGATATAATCAATCTAGTAGGTGTCAAAGAATTACTCATTATTGTCTTCTTAAAAAAATTTCCTTAATGACTAATTGTGCTTAGCAATTACAATTACTCCAGATATCTACATGGAAAATAGATAGGACTATTACAGCTATCACACTCAGCCCTATATATCTTCTTTAGGGAAACATCTATTCAAACCCTTTGGCCATTTTTCAGTTTTCTTATTAGTCTTTGTTTTTTAATTAGTAGAGAGTTTACTTTGTTGTTTTTTGGCAGTACTGGTGTTTGAACTCAAGGCCTCATGTTTGCCAGACAGACACTACAACTGAGCCATACCTCTTGCCCTGGAAGATTTTTTTTTTTTTTTTTTTGGGTCCAGTCGTGGGCCTGAACTCTGGGCCTGGGCGCTGCCCCTCAGCTCTTCAACTCAAGGTTAGCACTCTACCCCTTGAGCCACAGCACCACTTCCGGCTTTTTTCTTATGTGGTGCTGAGGAATCGAACCCAGGGCCTCGAGCATGCAAGGCAAGTGCTCTACCACTGAGTCACCTTCCCAGCCCCGAAGATTTGTTTTTTTTTTTAAGTGTATCCTAGTCCCATATTAGACATATGATTTGCAGAGCTGAAGATGTGGCGCAAGTGGCAGAGCCAAATTATTTTGAAGTACATATATGTTATAATAATTTTTAAACACAGTATGTTTAACTCTAATAAAAATGCTTATGCATTTTAAGTCTAAGTCATTCTAACCAAAATTTAGAAAGAAACTGAAAGGCAGGTCAGTGGCTCACACTTGTAATCCTGTAATCTACTCAGTAATATAACCAAGAGAACTGAAAACACGTTCACACCAAGCCTTGTACCTGTATGCTAATAGTTGCTATTTATAGTGGGCAGAAAGTAGAAAGAGCCCAAATGTCCATCAGCTGATGAGTGGATAAGTTGTGACAGTGAATACTGGTTCAAATCTAGCCCCAGCAGAAAAGTCCAGGAAACTCTGTCTTCAACTAACCAGAAAAGGCAGAGCTGAAAATGTGGCTGAGCACCAACTGAGGAAGCAAGCCAAGCCAAGTATGAGGCCCTAGTTCAAACCCTAGTACCACCAAAAGAAAAAGAAACTGATAAGCATTTTATAGACAAATTCTAGTGGAAGCCTAGGAACTCAAAGAGTAGCAAAGGAGCCAGGCACTGGTAGCTCATGCCTGTAATCCTAGCTACTCAGGAGGCTGAGATTTGAAGATGGTGGTTCCAACCCAGCCCAAGCAGGAAAGTCTATGAGATTCTTATTTCCAATAAACTACTCAGAAAAGGGCAGAAGAGGTCTGTGGCTCAAGATGTAGAGTGCTAGCTTTGAACAAAAGAAGCTCAGAGACAAGAGCCCAAGCCTCAACTTCAAGCCCCATGACTGACCCAAAAAAAAAAAAAAAAAAAAAAACCAAACAAATCAAAGGAAAAAGTAATAAGTAATTGCGCTTTAAAAAAAAAAGTGGGGGGGCTAGGAAGTGGCTCAGTGGTAGAGTGTTTGCCTTGCATGCATGAGGCCCTGGGTTCGATTCCTCAGCACCAAATAAGCAGGAAAAAAAGCCAGATGTGGTGTAGCGCTAGCCATGAGCTGAAGAGCTGAGGGACAGCATCCAGGACCAGAGTTCAGGCCCACGACTAGACCACCCCCCCCCCAAAAAAAAGATTCCACTCTTAGACTTGGAAAAAATATAGTAAGTGAAGCAAGCCAGATTCAAAGAAGCCCAGGCTGCATGTTTTACTTCATTTGTAATAATTAGATATGTCTATAGAACTACAAGTTAATCCAATGCATAGTAAAGGACAATTACATTTGGACATGATTAGTTAAACAGCACTCTAAGCATTCACACACTGAGAACAAAGGAGGATATTCTTAGGATAGCTATGTGCATATGACCATATAAAATGATGATTATCAAAATGAACTCCAAGAAATGGAAACAAGAGGTTTTCTTTTATACTGCTTGCAGTTATTTTTTCTTTTTTCTCCTTAGGTCTATTTCCTGGTATCACTGTTTTTTTATTTCTGTACCCTTTGTCTAGTATAAGTTTATCTGATTTGGTGGGACAAAGGGTGAATCAAATTAACAGTGATACTCATTATACACTGTTGGAAATGAACTTTACAACTTTGGTGAGAAAGGGAGGAAAAGTGGGAGAAAATGAGGGAGAGGTTAACACTGTTTAAAAAGAAATGTAGGGCTCAGCACCAGTGGCTCACGCCTGTAATCCTAGCTACTCAGGAGGCTGAGATCTGAGGATCATGGTTCACAGCCAGCCCAGGCAGAAAAATCAGAAGTGGGCTGTGGCTCAAGTGGTAAAGCACCAGCCTTGAGCTGAAGAGCTGAGGAACAGTGCCCAGGCCCAGAGTTCAAGCCCCACGACCAACAAAAAAAAAAAAAGAAAGAAAAAAGAAAGAAAAGAAATGTACTCATTTCCTTGTGTAACTGTAACCCCTCTAGTATATCACCTTTATAATAAAGTTTAAATTTTTTAAAAAAAATTTCCACTCTCTTACTGACCACAATTGGGACAGGTAGAAATACAATACTGTACCTTAAAATGTACTGTGATATTCCAAGGAAGAGCTGAATTTGATGCAAGAAGATCAAATAGCAAACCAATTGGATAGTGCCTAAAAATGAAAGAGTATAGTCTGAGAATAGATCTAAATAATTTTTAACTAAACAAATTTCTAGTACATATTTTAACACAAACGACCCAGATACATTTTAGATTGTAGCTACATTTCTAGACTAATTTTATAAACTTTAAAGGCATTAGGTATTTTTCATCTACCCATTTCATTTCCCACAGAAATATGTGATTAGAGTACAGTAAGCCACTCATTATCAATTGTTATTACAATCTGTTACATAAAATTACCATCCCAGTATTTATGATGGGCAAACGTTTTTGTTTTTCAGCCCAGACCGGGACTCAACTCATTATCTGAAGCATTATGCTCAATGGCAGGTGTCATACCACCTCAGCCAACAAGCCCAGCCCAGGACGATTGTTTTTTAAAGTTTATTTATAAGTTTTAACCAACTTAAAACTTTACAAAATCCTAAACTAAGTACCTGAAAAACATACAAATCACCTACAAATCTGTGGTTAATACTAATGACATTACAGCATGTAAATGTCCAATCTTTTATCTATGTGAACATCTAAATACAGATTCAGAGTTTAACTTTTACAACTTGCTCTTCTCACATAATACAATGTTGCATTTTTTTTCCAAAGCACTAGTTCTAACTTATTTAAACTAAGTTTTGGATTTCTCAAATAAGAAAATGTTTCCTAAAATAGCCATTACAGTGAATCAAATTACTTAGTAATAAACAAATAAGTGAATAATAAAATTCTAGAAGGTTTCAAGGTTTTTACGTCAGCCTGTTAAAGAACTGAGGTATCTTAACCAATGAGTCAAAATTAAATACTTCCAACAGAGGCAAATAAAATGAGGACTGTTAGATGCAGTCTGGTTTCTACCTATGCAATTTTAAGTCATTCTGCAAAACCTGAAAATATGTCTCATAAGTTACTCTTTTTTTTTTTTGGATCCAGTCGTGGGGCCTGAACTCTGGGCCTGGGCACTGTCCCTCAGCTCTTCAGCTCAAGGCTAGCACTCTACCACTTGAACCACAGCTCCACTTCTGGCTTTTTTTCTTTTTGCTTATGTGGTGCTGAGGAATCGAACCCAGGGCCTCAGGCATGCAAGGCAAGCGCTCTACCACTGAGCCACCTTCCCAGCCCCTCATAAGTTACTCTTATCTGGGGTTAAATATTAGTTACAAAGGGATAAGGGAGGAATGGCTTAGTGGTAAAATACTTGTCTACAATGTATAGTGCCATAGGATTAGTCTGCAAGATTGCCACTGCCTCTACCCTGCGCCCACAAAAGCTAATATTGTTTACCTCTCTATAATTGTGAAAAGCTCACTGGTTACCATAGATCATATGTTTATTTAGAATGAATTTATGATAAGTGCCCTGATGATAAAAAAAAATTGAGTGTTATCTTAACAACAATCTTTAAACTGCTGTATTTGAAAGTAACTAGCACTAATCCTTTATAAATAGAAAATTTTAAAGAAAACTTGGGAACCTGGAAAAATCTGGCCTTAGTCAAGTCTTAAATACCCCAAAATATTATACCATAGACAAGTTACAGATTCTATTCAATTCTGATCCTTCTCTCAAAACAATAAGGGCTGTGGGTGTGACTTAGCAGGAGACCTCTTATCTATAGTGTGTGAACACTGGATTTAATACCATAGAAGATGCCAGGTAGTGAAAACACGCCCGCGTGCACACGCACATGTGTGCACACATCCACACACACACAAAGTTCTAAGTAGACTCAAATTTCAAAAATATTGCTGTCTATGGCTTTCCAATTCTTCAACAGCACTACAAAAAAAATTACACAAAACAACTTTATGCAAGTTACACAGGTAATATCACCTGAGATCATAGAAAAATAACTAGTATTCCAGTTTTTTGGGCATTCCTTATCATTCACAAAGGTACTATAAACTAATTCTAACCAAATCAAACATCCTATCTTAAAAGCAATTGATGTCAAGGGAGAAAAAAGTCAAACAACTTTAAAAAGAATTATGTGGATTGAAATACAAGTTAAATGTAAGACCCACATTCAATTATTCCTTAACTTACATATTAAAAATGTGCAAGGGCATATCATTTTGTTATACCCACCCTTTGTGATAACAAAATGAAGAATAATAAAGTACACAGACACTCTGCCAAATGGATAATAAATGGTTGTCAAATACATAAACACATGAATAAAGAGCTACAGAATGGTTTCCATATAGTACATAAATAAAAATCAGGCTGGGAATGTAGCTTAGTAGAATGTTTGCCTAGCATGATGCCCTGGGTTAGATTCTTCAGAACCATATCAACAGAAAAAGTGGGAAATGGTGCTGTGGCTCAAGTGGTAGAGTGCTAGCCTTGAGCAAAAGAAGCTCAGGGACAAGTGTCCAGGCCCTGAACTGGCAAGAGTGGGGGGGGGGGGGGGGGGGGCGGGATTGGGGAGTTGGTGCTGGTGGCTCTCATCTGTAATCTTAGGTACTTAAAAAGCTGAGTTCTGAGAATCACAGTTCAAAGCCAGCCTGGGCAGGAAAATCTGTTAGACTCTTGTCTCCTATTAACCACCAAAAAAACAGGAGTATGGCTCAAAGTGGTATGGTGCCTACCATGAGCAAAAAGAGCTCAGGGATGGAGCCCAAGCTTGCAGTTCAAGCCCTACAACCAACAAAAAAAAAAGGACTGAGGATATCGCTCATGCAAGGCTCCAGACTAAGTAAGGGAAAAAAAAAAAACTAAACAAAACAGACTTATGGTATCTAGATGTCAGGAAGATGATACAATAATGTACTCTTCTATTTCCCTCTCTGTAAATATTGCATCATCTTTCAAGAAAGTGCAAAATAAAAATGCAGAAAGGTGTTTCACAATGATTAGCCAAATTATTAGACAAATAACTGAAAGCAATGGCAGTACTCTCAGTTTTAATAACTGGTGAAATATGATCACTGGAGTAAAATCTCAAGACTGTCTTAGATGATATCCTAGATAAATTTAAAACTCAAGAAGACAACATCAGCATAAAACAAGGAGAATATGGTATTTTTATAAATTTAAATCATTTAACAGATAAGACTTCACTGCATATTTTGTAATCAGACCATTTTACTAAAAGGATAGATGACATTATTCTTTGTCTTTTGTTTTAAGTACAGCATAATTACTTCAGGTCAATTGTACACAAAAATACCTGGAAGGAATATATTGATGGTGAAATGTGGAAAAGGTATTAGAGTCATCATTCTAACTAGTGTTTACTGACATTAAAAATACAGTATTTTTAAAATTTCTCAAACTAGGAATATAGCTCAGGTAAAGCACTTAGGTAAGTGCTAAAACTCTATCAGAGCCTGGATTTTATCACCAGCACCACAATAAGAAAATGATTTATTTTCTTCAAAATCTACTAAATGGTATTAAATAAATAAATTTCTAACAAAATGGCTACAGATTATACCTTTATTCTAACTTTTTCTGTGTTCTTCTTTGTCCTACTGGTGATCATGCCCAGTACATTGTAGGCAAGGCTCTACCACTATATCCCCAAGTCTACAAAGGTTGATGCAAAAATTAATCTGTTCCAAGACTGTTTCCTTCTGATAAAACTATTAATATTCATGAGAATCTATAAAATAGAATCATCAAAACTCAAAGACACTGAACTTCTCATATACAATTTACATAAAGGATTTACAAAAAGAATTTCAAATGTACTCATTTGCACAACTCCTTTAAATAGGAGGCTCCTAACACAATACAGAAACCACTTAAGTCAAAACTACAAGTAAATCATAGCGTAGCCATTTGGCTGAAACTCCTTACATTCACCCTAAATTTAACAGAAAATTATGTGATAAATGTATGAACTTGAAATATATCCCAGAAGAGAAAACTACTAGCTAAAATTTCAATCTACTGTCCTATAACCTATTACATAAGACTATATAGTAAGTTCTATTTTCCTATTTTAGTCTTCTTGCCATTTTTAAGCACTATAAGAATCAATTCTCAAAATGAATGTATCTTTTGATGTACAGTTCTTTGTCCACTGGTCATTGCTAATATGGAAACAACACAGTAACTTAACAGAAAAAACTAGGGCTGAGGATGAATGAAGCTCAGTGGCAGAAAACTTGCCTAGTAAATATAGCTCTGTTTGGAAGCTATTTACCAATAGTAGTACACTAAGACTTTTCTATTCTAACTGGGACAAATATTTTTAAAAGCAATTAGAGCATTCGAGAGAACACACAAAATTTAGATTAAAAAAAAACTATTAGCAGGTATGGTAGAAACCGGCCTGAAATCAAATCTGAATCATATTTATTTGAGCAAGAGCTTGTACTTGAGTCTGTTTTCTAAACAAAAGCCAAGTGTGGATAACTATATTCCATTTTATGAAATAAGTTTTGCTCAATTCTGAAAATGAAAATGAAGCCAGTTTAATAAACTGACTTAAACCAGAGAGGGAGGGAAGAAAGAAGGAAAGTAGACAGGCCAAGCGAGCAAGGGACTCATTTAGGTTCATTTATCCATTTGGTAAAAAAATCTTACTGAATACCTTTCATTTGCTATTGCTTAATAGCCTGCTCAAGCATCCTACATGTTTAAATGATTTAAGACTAACACAAGAAAAGAAGTATGACCTTGACAGTGTTAGCTAGACCTATTGAGTCTGAGGGCACACAACCCTGAATTTTACATGCATTAACTCACATAATCCTTGAAACACACTGATGGGAGCACAGGCCTTTATTATCATCTCCATGTAACAGACACAAAGTCAAATACCTTGCTCAGTGACTATATTATCTAGTAAGTGATACAGAGCAGGAATTTTTACAGTGATGTGTCAAGTATATATGAAGTGTCTACACAGTGGTATAGCAACCATATGAAGGTAGAGATGAACACTTTTGCTAAAGGAAATCACAAAAGCAGTGACCCATTAGAAAAAATAAATTAGGAAAAAAAGATGAATAAATTAGTAATATGAGAGACAAAAAGCATCCTGGAAAGAACAATCTTTACCAGAAAATGCAGCAGGACAGAACAATTTTCTAAATCTTTTTTTCTTGTTTGTCCACCATGGGGTTTGAACTCAGTGCCTGAGTGCTGTCCCTTAGCTTTTTTGCTCAAGGCTAGAGTTCTACCACTTGAGCTATAGCTCCACTTCTGGATTTTTAGCAGTTAGAAATGAGTCTCATGGATTTTCTAACCTGAGCTGGCTTTGAACCATAATCTTTAGATTCCAGCCTCCTGAGTAGCTAGGATTATAGATGTGAGCCACCAGTGGCTGGCCCCAAATCACTTTTCTGGCAGTCGTGGGGCTTGAACTCTGGGCCTGGGCGCTGTCCCTCAGCTCTTCAAGCTCAAGGTAAGTACTCTACCACTTGAATCACAGCGCCACTTCTGGTTTTCTGGTGGATAACTGGAGATAAGAGTCTCAGGATTATATTGCCGTGCAGGCTCTGAACCATGATCCACATAACTCAGCCTCCTGAGTAGCTAGGATTACAGGCATAAGCCACCAGCACCTGGCACCAAATCACTTTTACAGCCAATATTATACCAATACCAAATCACACAGTCCAAAATTTAAAAAAAAACAATCTCTCTCATAAAATAAGACAAAGACACAAAGATCTCAACAGATTTTTAATTACTCAATAATATATTAGTAAATTAAATCCAATGATGAGTTTTCCATTTGAAATTTTTTTTTGAAGGTAGTGGGGCTTGAACTCTGGGCCTGGGGCACTATCCCTCAGCTCTTCAGCTCAAGGCAAGTGCTCTACTACTTGAGCCACAGCGCCACTTCCCGTTTTCCGCCCAGGCTGGCTTTGAACCTCAATTCTCAGATCTCAGCCTCCTGAGTAGCTAGGATTACAGGTGTGAGCAATGGGGGCCTGGCTTCCATTTAGATTTAATAAGTTCAAGGTTAAACCTAAGCAAGATGGTTCAAAATCAAAAATCATGGATATAGCATTTGTTGAACATGTATTCTACCACATGCTCAACAAGTCTGATGACCTGAGTTCAAACTTCAGCACCTTCCACCCCTAAAAAGTCACAAATGAAAGCCAAACAGTTACAAGCTCAAGAAAACCCACATGATATTAATTTAAATATTTCTCATCCAAAAACCTGAAATGCTCCAAAATCCTTCACTTAATTGAGTACCAACAGGACACCATGAGGAAAACCCTATAGCTCATCCTGTATAATAGGCCATGGTCAAAATGCAGGTGTGCTGGGGCTAGTTCCATGTAGCTTCAGTAGTAGGGTTCATGTTAAACATGCATGATGCCCTGTATTCAATCCCTAGCAACACATATGTGTGCATGTGAGCGTGCACACACACATACACATACAATTCATGTACACTAAATATAAGAACATATAATTACCCTTATAGTATGTATATAAAGTGGATATGAAATATAAATCAACTTTGTGTTTACACTTCCAAATCTGAAACTTGAAGCACTTCTAGTCAAGTATTTCAGATAAAGACACTAATCTGTAATTAAGCCCACAAAAAAAAAAAAAAAAAAAACAAATTCAGGGCTGGGAAGGTCGCTCAGTGGTAGAGCACTTGCCTTGCATGCTTGAGGCCCTGGGTTCGATTCCTCAGCACCACATAAGAAAAAAGCCGGAAGTGGCGCTGTGGCTCAAGTGGGAGAGCACTAGCCTTGAGCTGAAGAGCTGAGGGACAGCGCCAGGCCCAGAGTTCAGGCCCACGACTGGACCCCCCAAAAAACAAACCAAAAAAAAGCACAAAATCAAATTCATTTCACCTCTCTACTTGATTTAAAAAAAAAAAAAAAGGAAAACCTACCTAAAAGCATCAATACGTTCTCAGGGCTGAAAAGGTGGCTCAGTAGCAGTGCTTGCCTTGCATGCATGAAGCTGGAAGTGGGGCTGAGGCTCTAGTAGTAGAGCACTAGTCTACAGCTGAAGTGCTGAGGGACAGTACCCAGGCCCAGAGTTCAGGCCCCAGGACCGACCAAAAAAAAAAAAAAAAGTAGATGTTCTCAAGTAGAGAATAATGCAAAACACCTACTCCTATTATTCTTATTCAACATATTACTGTAAGTTCTAAATTACATCTATTTGCAGATGTCATGAATGCCTACATAGAAAATCGTAAGCAAGAGCTGGGCATGATGCTGTGACCTGTTATGTCAGAACTCAGGGACTGAAATAGACAAACCAAAGATTTGGCCAATGCAAAATCTTACCAGGGGTAGGGGGGATGAAGGGGCTACAGGAAGCCTAGTGCCTATGGTTCATGCATGTAATACTAACTATTCAGAAGGTTGAGAGCTGAGGATTGTGGCTCAAATCCAGACTTAGTAGTATTTTAGGAAAGTCCATGAGGTGAAGGCTGCATCCAGGTACGTAAAATAACCTACAATGTATAGGGTAGTCCCACAACAAAGAATTATCAAATTCAAAATGTCGGGGCTGGGAAGGTGGCTCAGTGGTAGAGCGCTTGCCTTGCATGTATGAGGCCCTGGATTCGATTCCTCAGCACCACATAAGCCACAAAGAAAAAAGCCGGGGGGCTGGGAAGGTGGCTCAGTGGTAGAGCGCTTGCCTTGCATGCTCAAGGCCCTGGGTTCGATTCCTCAGCACCACATAAGAAAAAAGCCGGAAGCGGCGCTGTAGCTCAAGTGGTAGAGCCCTAGCCTTGAGCTGAAGAGCTGAGGGACAGTGCCCAGGCCCAGAGTTCAGGCCCCATGACCGGACCCAAAAAAAAAAAAAAAAAAAGAAAGAAAAAAGCCGGAAGTGGCCCTGTGGCTCAAGTGGTAGAGCGCTAGCCTTAAGCTGAAGAGCTGAGGGACAGCACCTAGGCCCAGAGTTCAGGCCCCATGACTGGATAAAAAAAAAAAAAAAATGTCAACTGTAGCCCTGTTTTGAAACCCTTTATAATGATAAAAGAGAAGGCTATTGATTATTTTTAAAAAACCTTTATAATCTATATACCTATAAAGAAATGTAATTTAGATGTCTAATTATAATACTGACAGAGCTGCCAAGTACTTTTCTCCTATTGCTACTCATCCACAATCTTGCCCTTCCTGTCTCTCCCTTTCCCTCTATGTCACTGCTCCTTTTATGCTTCCTTTAAACCACCTTCTGGGAAATGGTTTAAAATACCACTTCCATTCTTCTGAGAAATAAAAAGAAATAGAAAACATTGCTTTATCTAGGCTATCTGAGGTCTAGAACTATTCACAGGTCATAATCTCACGTGACAATATATTGCATACATATACCCACAAATTACACACACAATTTTTTTTTGGTCGTTCTGGGGTTTGCTAGGCAAAACTTGAGTCAAGTGACAGAGCTTGCATTCAAGTTATTTCTAAGATACGGTCTCAGTTTTTTGACAAGACAGGCCTGGTCTGTAAGGATTATAGGAATGGACAACCAGCACTTGAAGGTGCATTTTGACATACTTGGTTGCATATTCTTTTGACAATCAAAAATATATTGCTGGCACAGGCATCAGTGGCTCACGCCTGTAATCCTAGTTACTTAGGAGGCTGAGATCTAAGGATCACAGTTCAAAGCCAGCCCGGGCAGGAAGGTCCGTGAGACTGATCTCCAATAAACCACCCAGAAAACCGGAAATGACGCTATAGCTCAAGTGGTAGAGTGCTAGCCTTGAGCTGAAGAGCTGAGGGACAGCACCCAGGCCCAGAGTTCAGGCCCCACAACCGAGACACACACACATACACACACACCCCTCAGGAAGAGTGCCCAGGCACTGAGCTAGCTCCAGGACTAGCAAAAAAATTATATTTATTAAACAAATGATACATATATAACACATATTATACATATTCCTGAAAATATATAAATCTGTCCCATAATTGATGCATCCAAATCAAAGGCAGAGAGTTATACTAGTGGCTTCATTCTTTGTTTTAATTGATTTTTACAACACTGGAGATTGAACCCAGGGGCCCACACATGCTAGGCAAGTACTCTATCACTTGAGCTAGTTCCTTAGTTGTTTGCTTTAAGTTATTTTTCATGTAGGGTCTCAAGCTTTAGCCCAGGTCCAGCCTAAGACTTGAGTAGCAAAGCTGGAATTATAGGCATTTGCAACTATGTCCAACTTGTGCTTTAGACAGTGTTCCACTAACTTGTCTCAGTTGGTATCAAACTACAATCTTTGTATCTCTGCCTCCCCCACCCCACCTCTGTAGCTGAGATTATAGGTATGCACCACCATACCCAGGTTTCTTTTTTAATGGAACTTCTTTTAACTGTTTTCAGGGCACTATACTATATGGCATATACTTAATGTTTAATAATAGAGAAATTCACTCACCATTTCAGTGGTGTGCCTTCATATTCAAACCATATCTCACTAATGTCTTCTTGTCTCATAACCTTCTGAAAATGTTTTTTCACTTTGTCAGTTACCAACGTCAAATAACTTACTCTTGGCAAAAGCAACTGAAATGAAAATTTATAAAACTGTATTTACCAGTTATTTTTTCCAAAAAAATGTACTAAATAGGTTTTAATTTTAAGGAAAAAACAGCTACAATCTGTGCATTCATTTAAATATCCAACACATCGTCAATCCCTTTCTATAGAAAAATCAAAGGCTATAATAATGGTTAATATGAGTTACTTATTAATGGGGCTATTCCTCTCCCCACCAATGGTACTGGAGTTTCACTCAAGGCTTTGTACTTCCCAGGCAGGCACTGTCATTGAGCTATGCCCCGTCTCTTTATGCTTTAGGTATTTTTTTAAATAGGGCCTCCCATTTATGCCTATGCAAGCCTGAACCAAAATGCTTCCTATACCACCACACCCAGGTCTTTTTTACTGACTAAAAGGGTCTCATAGAGTTTCTGTTGGGGCTGGCCCTGAGCCATACATAATCCTCATAGTATCTGCCTCCCCAGTAGCTAGGTCTACTGGCATGAGCCAATGTGTCTGGTTGGGGCATTATTTTCTGTTTGGTTGTTTGTGCAAGGCCTTGAACTTTCCCTCAGCATTTTCAGTCATAGCTGGTACACCACAACTTGAGCCATGTCTTTAGTCCTGGAACATTACTTTTAATTATAGTTTGTCTACATGCCTATAATAATTAGTGCAAATCTATCCAGTCTTTTGTACTGCTTTACACAAAAGTTCAATTTTGCCGGGTGCCAGTGACTCATGCCTGTAATTCTAGCTACTCAGGAGGCTGAGATGTGAGGATCGCAGTTCAAAGCCAGCCTGGGCAGAAAAGTCTGTGAGACTGTCTCCAATTAACCACCAGCAAACTGGAAATGGTGCTGTGGCTCAAGCGGTAGTGTACTCGCCTTGAGCTGAAGAGTGCAGGGATAGCGCCCAAGCCCAGAGTTCAAGCCCCATGACCGACCAAAAAAAAAAAAAAAAAAGTTCAATTTTATTAGAAATCATACTACCTAGGATTACTAGTTCTATCAAGTTAACTTAAAATTTTTAATTAATCACTTGTGTTAAACTGTTCAAAGGAAACAATAAATTCCATGCTCATGTATACATAGACTTATCAAGCAGGATTTCACAATAAGCCCAAGTTTGAAGGCTTAGAAGGAAATGTTAGGCTGGCATAATATCTTAATAGTATTCTAGTAAAGCTTTTACTCTACTAGAATACTATTAAAACATTATGTTTTCCCAGGAACAGAACTCTCAAAGAAAATCTAACAAGGAAGATTTGAAAAAACAAGTTACCACTTACATAAAGAATACATAAGTACTCATCAGACACTATACAACTTGTAGGAGGGAATGGGAGGGAAAAACTGGGAGAGGAGCATGGAAAGGGTAACATTGTACAAAAAGAAATGTAGCCGTGGGGCTGGGAAGGTGGCTCAGTGGTAGAGTGTTTGCCTTGCATGCATGAGGCCCTGGGTTCGATTCCTCAGCACCTACATAAGCAACAAAGAAAAAGCCAGAAGTGGCGCTGTGGCTCAAGTGGTAGAGTGCTAGCCTTGAGCTGAAGAGCTGAGGGATAGAACCCAGGCCCAGAATTCAGGCCCCACAACAGGACCTTCCCCCCCCCGCCCCCAAAAAAAAGAAATTTAGCTAGGCGCCTGTGGCTTTCGCCTGTAATCTTAGCTACTCAGGAGGCTGAGATATGAATATGACAGTTCAAAGCCAGCCCAGGCAGGAAAGTCAGTAAGACTCTTATCTCCAATAAACCACTCAGAAAACTGGAGTTGAAGAACTGAGGGACAGGACCCAGGCACAGAGATCAAGCCCCACGACCAACAAAAAAAGAAATATACTCTTTACCTGACTTAAATAACTGTAACCCCTTTGTACATCACCTTTATACATACAATTTAACAAAAAACAAATCATTTATGAAAAAAATTCCATGAGTAGAAATAAGGAAATTGTCAAAAATTCATGTTTTCTCTTCTTTGCAGTAGAACCATTTCTAGTTTCTTCATCTTCCTTCTTTTGCTTATAAACCTGACTCATGACTGTTTGTGGCTGTTTTTATGTGTCTAACTCTGAATCATGTTTCAGGCTGCCTATTCAAAGTGGTATCTTTTGATCAGAAAATCCAATAGACCCAGTTGGTGGGCAAATAATATAAAGAATTATTCTAACTAAAGAAACTGATACTTAATCATCGAAACCCAAAACAATAGAACCCAATGATGCAGAAGACAATGACATGGTACTAGAAGATACAGGGCAAGGGTACGGAAGTGCTATTATTGTTATGCCCTAGTATGGATGAAATGGAAGGTATTAAATACTAACAGCAAACTGCTCAATAGTATTAAAGATTTCACAATGCTTTTCCTTTATAAATAAATAACTGGGGGTTGGAGGTATGGCTCAATTGGTAGAGTGCTAGCTAATAAGCAAAACAGTCCCATCTCAGCAAAAGTAAAAAAAATAAAAAAGCTAGTGAAATGATTAGTGAAGAAAGGAAATTAATACTATATATAAGTTAAAGTAGAGGGTTTTTTTTTTTCCTTATGGGTAGTTTTATCAATTTTGCATAGAGCATGAATAGCTTTCCAAAATCATAGGCTATTACATAAATGGCAGTGGCTAGGTACTTATAATCCCAGCTACTCAGAGGTAGAAGCAGGATAGTAAGTTCAAGTCCAGGCCAGACAAAAAGTTAGTGAAACCTCACCTCAGAAACAAAACAAAAAAGAAGCCAGGCACCAGTAGCTCACAACTGTAATACTAGCTACTCAGGAAGCTGAAATCTTAGGATCATGGTTTCAAAGCCAGCCCAGGCAGGAAAGTCTGTGTGACACTCTTGTGATACTCTTGTCCCCTATTAACCACCAAAAAGTGAAGCTATGGCTCAAGTAGTAGAGTACCAACCTTGAACAAAAAAGCTAAGGGACAGCATCCAGGTCCTGAGTTCAAGCCCAGTACTGGCACGCAAAAATTAGTAAATAAATAAATTAAATAAGGCAACTTTCAGTACTACAAGAATAAAGATAGACACAAATTCTTTCTGAAATGACAAAATCTGTAGAAGTGTGACAGAAAGTGTGGCAGCACAGTAAGGCAGATATTTCTAAATTACTAATTGTAAAGAAGTACACATTAGTAAAATCTAACTTCAGTTTAAAATTACTTTTGGCCTTAACATATTAATAAGCTAGTCTGCAGAGTAATATTAAGCAATGGAGTAAAGAAAAACACACTGTAAAGAGTGCTTCTGATTTTGTACTAGATGTTGCTAAATAGTTAATGGTTTCCTGAAATATTCTCACAATAAAGATGTACAATATTGGGGTAAAACTTCCATTTAGACAGATTTTTGTCTCTCTTGTTTCAATGCTTCATTTCCAATGACCAAATAGTATCTGCTTGATAGAAGACACAAAATAAATATTTTCTGAATAAATCAAATATCAAAGGTTAAGTGAGGCAAAGAGCCAAAAATGACAAAAAAAGAATGCCCACTCACTCTATATCAAAACACATATACAATGTAACTGTAATCTTGTGTTCCAATCTGGCATGTGAGTAACCCACAAGTAACATAAATATTCACAGTAACACTAGCAAATTACCATCCCTTCACATTAACAGTAATAATGTATACACAGGTACAATTTTTACCTAGGAAATCTTTTTTTTTTTTTTTTGGGTCCGGTCGTGGGGCCTGAACTCTGGGCCTGGGCGCTGTCCCTCAGCTCTTCAGCTCAAGGCTAGCGCTCTACCACTTGAGCCACAGCACCACTTCCGGCTTTTTTTTTCTTTTTGCTTATGTGGTGCTGAGGAATCGAACCCAGGGCCTTCGGCATGCAAGGCAAGCGCTCTACCACTGAGCCACCTTCCCAGCCCCTACCTAGGAAATCTTTACATGGGCAAAAACAAAAAGAAAGTCACAGGGGCTAGAAAGGTGGCTCAATGGTAGAGTGCTCACCTTGCATGCATGAGACCCTGAGTTCCATTCTTTAGCACCACATAAGCAGAAAAGGCCAGGAAGTGGTGCTGTGACTCAAGTGGTAGAGCGCTAGCCCTGAGCTAAAGAGCTGAGGGACAGCACCCAGGGCCCAGAGTTCAGGCCCCATGACCAACAACAACAACAACAAAAAGAAAGTCACACAATAACATTATCCTGCCTTTTATCTCCAGGCTGTATATTACTCACTGTTTCAGGCAGGCATATCACATTATTGTCTTTTATTTTCTTTTTTTGGTGCTGGTCCTGGACTTCAACTCAAGGCCTGGGTTTTGCTTAAAGCTTTCTGCCTAAAGCTAGCATCTACCACAGCTACACTTTCAGCTTTTTGGTAGTTTATGGGCGGCAGTAAGAGTCTGATGGACTTCCTGCCTTGTGTGGCTAGTTAAAGTAGCTTGGTAAAGGCATGCACCTAGCTGCATAGCCTTTTTCTTTTCCAGTGTAGTAATACATTTAACATATTTAACATTTTAGCCTCTTATAAGTACAGTGGCATGAAGCACATTCACACAGTGGTATAACCATCCCAAAGAAACACTAGTCATTAACAGCTAACTTTCCAGTCTTTCCCATCCTAGCTCCTAGCTGGTAACCTTTCCATCTCTACAAATATAACTACTTAACATACCTCACAAATCTAGAGTCCTTTGTGTCATTGATTGTACTTAGCATGTTCTTTCAATGTTATGGTGCCAGTGGCTCAGATCCTTAATCTTAGCTACTCAGGAGGCTGAGATCTGAAGATTGTAGTTCAAAATCCACTCAGGAAGGAAAACTCTGTGCAACTTTTTATCTCCAACTAACTAGCAAAAGCCAAAATTGGAGCTGAGGTACAAGTGGTAGAGTGCCAGTCTTAAGTGAAAAAACTAAAGGACAGCATCTGGGTCCTGAGTTCAAGTCCAGTACCAGCACAAAAATAAATAACCAGAGCACATTGTAAGTACAATGTTATTTATTTGGTGAACTGAAAACCTTTTGTACAGCTACTTTAAGATGATAAAAATAACCAGGAAGTGGGGATGTGGCTCAAATGATAGTGCACTAGCCTTGGGCACAAAGAGGCTCAGGGACAGAGTTCAGGCTGTGAATTCAAGACTCACAACCAAAATAAATAAATAAAATAACCAGAGCAAAAGGGATAAAGGCATGGCTCAAATGATAAGAGTATTTGCCTAATGAAACACTAACAAAGTTTTGAGTTTAAACCCCAATATCACCCAAAAAACAAAAAAATATCAAGTGTAAGTTCAGAAACTGATTTTAGTATGTGTTTCAGGTGAGAGGAGACCAGGGCCTCACATATGCTAAATAGATAATCTAGTACTTTGCTACATCCCAGGTCCAGTATATTAAATTACATTATAATATATACTAATGCAATACTATATATGGACTATTATATCATATATCACATATATAACGGAATATATGAACAAATGTATTTCTAAGTTCACTAAGCTACAAAAATACTTGAGGAATTAGTTGCCTGGAATTATCTAAATATAAAAAAACCAATCGTGAACCTTTTTTTTTTTTTTTTTGAGTTGTGGGGCCTGAACTCTGGGCCTGGGCTCTGTCCCTCAGCTCTTCAGCTCAAGGCTAGTGCTCTACTACTTGACTTACAGTGCCACTTCTGGCTTTTTCTGCTTATGTGGTGCTGAGGAATTGAATACATGGCCTTATGCATAAAAGGCAAGCACTCTACCACTGAGCTACCCTCCTTGCCCAAATGAACATATTATTTCACAGTAACATTTTATTAAAGCATAGTACATAGCTTAGGATTCCACTATCATATATCTAAAATCCTATTTCTCAGGGCCTTGCATATACTTACATATACATGTTCTTCTACTAAGTCTTGTCCTTAGCCTAATTCCATTACCTTATGTGATAGATGCATACATGCATAAGAAGAAAGTCGGTATAGCACTGATTGCTCATGACTATATAATCCTAGCTACTCAGGAGGATGAGATCTGAGCATAGTGGTTCAAAGCTAGCCCAGGCAACAAAGTCTATGAGACTCTTATCTCCAGTTAAGCATTAAAGAAGCCAGAAGTGGAGCTGTGGCTTAAGTGGTAGAGCACTAACCCTGAGCAAAAAACCTCAGGGACAGCACCCAGGCCCAGACTTCAACCCCTGGGACCAAAACAAAGTAGAAAAAGAAAAAAGTCAAAAAAACATGTCATTATTTAACAATACTTTTGCACTACAGTTAGTAGGATTATGTGGGACTTTCACTTCTTTCTATTTTGCTGACCTATAGCTTTTAGTTTTTCCCAAAACATAGATCAGTTGCACACAAAATGTTGGATAACAGCCTCCAGGATCTTAGAACGTTATTTACAAAACCAGACAAAATTCAACATCTCATTTGTCACCACCAACATACTTACATAATATGGTTCTGCTTCCCTTTCAGTTATCTCATCCTGGTACAGAGTGAAGCAAGTTGGAATTCGTCCAAACCACACATCTCGAAGTACATCTTTGTCATCTGTCATTCTTCCAGTGGTTAAAGCAGTACATATAGGCTAAATTCTTTCTTCAATCAAAGCCAAACTGAGAATAAATGAAGAGCATTAGTCAGATCCTTGCAAGTATGAATGAACCTGGTATAAAATGGAAGTTTATATTAAGAACTGAATTGAAACCCCTTGGTAAAACTATTTAAGAATAATTTTTAAAATGTGTGTATGAAGAAAATGAATGGAATAAAAATTATTCACTTCAAAAAATCTGGAGCTGGGAGTGTGTTTTACTGGTAGAGTGCTTGCCTAGCATGCATGAAACCCTGGGTTCGATTCCACAGTACCACATAAACAGAAAAAGCCAGAAGTGGCTCTGTGGCTCAAGTGGTAGAGCGCTAGTCTTGAGCAAAAAAGAAGCTTAGACAGTGCCCAGGCCCTGAGTTCAAGCCCTAGGACTGGCAAAAAAAAAAAAAATTGCGTGGGCCAGATCAGTGGCTCATACTTGTAATCTTAGCTTCTCAGGAGGCTGAGATCTGAAGCCAGCCCAGTCAGTAAAGTCAGTGAGATTATTATCTCCAATTAACAACCAAAAAAAGCTAAAAATGGAGTTGTGGCTCAAGTGGTAATAGAGTGCTAACCTTGAGCACAAAAGCTCAGAAACAGCACCCAAGGCCCTGAGTTCAAGCCCCGAGATGAGTACACACACAAGAAAATCTGTACAATTGGTGGGGCCATGGTGACTAATAATACCTATAATCCTTGCTACTCAAGAGGCTGAGATTTGAGGATCACAGTTCAAAACCAGGCTAGGCAGGAAAGTCTGTGAGACTCTTACTGTCAATTAATCACCAAAAAGTGAGAAGTGGAGCTGTGGCTCAAATGGTACAGTGTTAGTCTTGGAAAAAAGTTCAGGGATAGCACCCAGGCTCTGAGTTCAAGACCTACTTCTAGCTCAAAACAAAACAAAAACCTACATGACTGAGCAGGCAGAGTAGAACAAATCAATAGTCCCAGCTCTCCAGGAAGCTGGACAGCTTGAGTCCAGGAGTCTGGGGCTAGCTTGGGCCATTTGAAGCCCCATCTCCTTAAAAAAATAAATGGGGGCCAGATGGCAGTGGCTTACGCCTATAATCCTGGCTATTCAGGAGGCTGAGATCTGAGGATCATGGTTCAAAGCCAGGCCAGACAGGAATGTCAGTGAGACTTGAATTAATGTCAGTGAGACTCCAATTAACCACCAGAAAACCAGAAGTGACGCTGTGGCTCAAGTGGTAGAGTGCTCACCTTGAGGGATAGCGCCCAGGCCCAGAGTTCAAGACCCATGACCCACCAATAAAAAAGTCAACATTTCAAACTTCATAGGCAAAGCTTGGTGTTCTGGTTCATACTTAGAAGCCCTAGGCAACTTAGGGAGACTGTATCAGAAAGTCTATGTAAACGTTCACTACATAATCAAGTAAATCAAGTAAAGCACAATCAAAATACAACTATACTTGCATCAACTTTTCAAGCCCAGAAGTCTTATACTTTACCTAAAGAAAACCTTTTACCTATGTCCTATGATCCTCAATAGCCCAACTCTAAGTAGTACTGGGGATTGAACACAGTTTCTCAGATAAACTCTACCTCAAGAGCCACTACCACTTTCAGCTTTTTGGTTTGGTAGGTGTTTTCTCTTTTTCTTTTTCTTTTTTGGTGCTGGTCCTGGGGCTTGAACTCAGGAACTGAGTACTGCCCCTTAGTTTTTCTTTTTTTCTTTTTTTTTTTTTTTTTTGGGGGGGGGGGGTCCGGTCGTGGGGCCTGAACTCTGGGCCTGGGCGCTGTCCCTCAGCTCTTCAGCTCAAGGCTAGCGCTCTACCACTTGAGCCACAGCGCCACTTCCAGCTTTTTTTTTTCTTTTTGGTTATGTGGTGCTGAGGAATCGAACCCAGGGCCTCATGCATGCAAGGCAAGCACTCTACCACTGAGTCATCTTCCCCCAGCCCGTGCCCCTTAGTTTTTTTTGTTCAAGGTTAGTGCTCTACCATTTAAGCTCCACTTCTAGCTTTTTGGTGGTTAATTGGACTTTACTTCCCAAGCTGGCTTCCAACCTTAAATCTTCAGAGCTCAGCCTCCTCCATATCTAGGATTACAGGTGTGAGTCACTAACACCCAGTTTGGTTTAGTGTTTTATTTCTGAGATAGGGTTTTGATAATTTTGCCAGGGCTGACCTCAACCTCCCTAGTAACTGAGATTGTAGATGTGCAAATGCACACTACATTCAGCTAGAATTAGAGTTAGCCAGCTCTTATCTCAACCAATAAATAGCTGGGCATGGTGGTACACTTGCTTTTCTTTGTAGAGTCTGCCCCCAAAAGAGATAAGAATGGACTTAAAGGAAATAAGATCACCCAATAGGAGTGTTTAAAGTCTTACATTCCAGCCACATTCATCAAAATTCTACAGTATGATTTTTAGGAATAAAAACTATTTACAATGGGATTATGTTCTAAAAGATACTTAAGTTAAAAATATCGAAGTTGAAAATGTTCCTACTATAGCTAATCTACTGAACACATCACGGCTAAGCAATACAGTACCTTCATGATCCCATAGTGTCTGTGAGCTGCACTTGCTGCAGCTGCCAGGTATCACAAGAGCACCACACACAAATGGCCAACCAGGAAAAAAAATCAGAATTCAAAATGCCAAGAACATGTAACTGTGGCTGGGTCTGTTTAAAGGCACAAAGGAAAATGGGGAAGGGCAGAGGACAAATAAAATGGAAATATATAATGTCTGTGCATGAAGACAGCATAAGGAAACTCACCAACAGGTTTTAAATAGGTGGTAGAAAAGACCAGGAAAGAGAAAGCAATAGATGAGGTTAATCTAATTATATGATTATGTGAAATGCCATGATAAGACTCCTTTGTATACTCAACAGGTGCTAAAAAAAAAAAAAAGAATTACAATAAAGTAAAACAAGCTATACGCTACACACCAGCAGGAGTGGAAAAGGCCAAGAAGGAAAAAGCCAACAAAGACGATAAATGAGAAACAGGGTGAATAAGGAACAAGATGAAGGATGAAGTTCTTTATATGAATTATGAAAATAGAAAAACGAAACCTGTTAAAATTGTTTTAAGAGGAGGAGGAATGTAGGCTACAGAGGGGGTTGATCAAGATACCTTGTTTAGATGGACAGATGGAAAAGTCTCAATGAAACTTCCCTTTGTATAACTAATCTATCTTAATAAGTCTTTTAAAAATTCTCAGTATGATTTCTACTGTATCTGTATTGCTTTCACATAATGATTCAGTCATCAGTGAGTTAAAAAAAAATCCTAAATTGAAGACAGATGCTTCCTGAATGAATGTCCTATTTCTGCATCCAATTCAGGGTTACCCAGTTGACATTTGTTATATATTCCAAGCAGGGTAAAATATCATCTATAAAGACAAGAAATGGGCAATGACATCATCTGTCAACTTTTTTAAAATTTTGAGTTAGGTAGAATAGTAATCAAATAGCTGATATTATAACACATTTTAATATCACACATGATCTTAGGCAAGTCACTTCACTGAGCCTCAACCTACTTTACCAATGAAAATGAATACAACCTACTTTACCAATGAAAATGAGTCACAAAGTTGAAAAAAATATGCATTTGATATAAAATGCAAACAATTCTTGCTTTTATGTCATTATCTGTAAAAATTCATTCCAGTATATCATATATCAGCTCTTTGGTTTGGGGGGTGTTTTCTGTTTCTCTTTTGCTCTTTTGATGCTGGTCCAGGGGCTTGAACTCAGAAACTGAGTTCATTTGGGGGGAGGGGGTCCTCAGTTTCATCCACCAAGCCTAGAGAATCTAAAAAGGTTTGATTAACTAAAAAAACAATCATTTGGTAGCAATACACAAGAGGAGAGCCTCATTTGGGGAGGGAAGGGAAAAAACAAAATGTTTAAATAGGGTTATAGGTTGACCCACTGCAACAATGAGATGTACAAGACACTATGTTGAAATACAAACTTTACAATTTGGGGCAAAGTGTAGTTGAGAAGGTGAGAGGGAAGGGATGGTAGGGGAAAAACAAAGGAGAAGGCAACAATGCTTGATAAGAAATATACCTTGCTCATGTAACTGTAACCCCTCTGTACAGTATTTTCACAATAAAAAAACTTATTTAAAAAAAAAGAGGAGAGCCTCAAGTTAGACTATCTTGGAAGTAATTTCTGCAACTAAGTGCTCAATCTAGAATGGTCCTAGTGAACTGTTATGAGATGAGTCTTTCAAAGAAAAAATTGATGTTTGTAAAGCATGAAGAATGAAGACAGTGGGCTATAAGGTAAAGCAGGCTTTTAAGTCAAACTGATAGGGGTTTAAACTCTGACCTATTAGTTGTATACCCTAGAACAACAACCTGTCCTTTCCAAATCCTATATCATGAAGTATGCAGACAATTCTAGTTTTCAATCAATAATTGTTTGCACTAAGTAGTCTCCTTGTGCTTCCAAGGCAGGTATGCCTTGGCAGGTATGCTCCTTCCCTCTTTTTTGGTGAACTCTTTAATCTTCTCTTGAACTACTGCTAATCTTTTAAGAGCTTAATATCAGCTCCTTGGGCAGCTTTCCCCTAAGCAGCCTCTAGTCTAATTACTTTAGTAACCTATACTGGAAAGCATAGCAGTTATTATATCAGTTATGTCTCTTGCCTCTCTCCTCTTTGAACTGTGAGTTCTTTGATAGCAAAGACAAAAATTAAATCAGATCTACCTTATCTCCAATTAACAATTAGCAAATATTAGGCTTGGCAAGTTTTGTTAACTAAATATAAATAAAATCCCTACTTTTGGTAATAAATATAATCCAAACTACCTAAAAAATAATTTTACTTAATCAGTACAATCACACTTTAATTTCAGCAAAGTTATTTAGTTATTTAGAAAGGTTTCCTTACATACATTTACAGCATTGTCCCCACCAATTGTCAGGGTACAGAAACCTATGATGCAGACCTCCACAAATAAGCTGTTTGAGGATAAAGGCTTCCTAACTGGAATATTCTATTTCTGCATCCAGTTCAGGGCTTGTGCTAGTTAGGTGGCCAATTGACATCTGTTAACCAATTAATCATTCAAACCAGAATAAAAATGTACAAGTAAGCTGGGCGCCAGTGGCTCATGCCTGTGATCCTAGCTACTCAGGAGAGTGAGATCTGAGGATCGAGGTTCAAAGCCAGCCTGGACGGGAAAGTTTGTGAGACTCTTATCTCCAATTAACCACCAGAAAACCAGAAGTGGTAATGTGGATCAAAGTGGTAGAGTGCTAGCCTTGGGCAAAAAAGCTCAGGGAGTGTGGCGCTGTGGCTCAAGTGGCATAGCTCTCATCTTAGCTGAAGAGTTTAGGAATAGCGCCCAGGCCGAGTTCAAGCCCCACAACCAACAACAACAAAAAAAGTGTAAGTAAGCTTTCTATATCACCTACCAAGAAAAGTCAACAACAAAATCCACAGCTACCTAGAAATTTCAAAATATAGATTAGAGTAAGTTTGTAAGCAACTAAAAATAATAGTAAGTGCTGGCTGTTTTTAAAGTTAAACTGTTGTGAGTAGTCTATATACCTACATTTCCCTAATCCAGCAACATTCCCAAACTTCCACCAGCATTACGGCTTATTTTCTTGTTCCTCAAATCTCCAAATAACCTTCCCCACCCACTCACAGCTAAAGACCTTGCTTTCAATTTCATTTCATCCTATTTTACTTGTCTGCAGAGGGGGAGGGGATGGAACTGGTAAATTCCCTAAACATTGAGTGCCCCAGGGCTCAGTCCTTGAGACACGCCCATGGAGATTCCCCAGGCTATATTATAAACACCATTTATACATTTACAGTTCCCATTTACATCCTTACATCCTCAGCCCAGAGTAGAGCTTGCTTTACTTTGTACACCACTACACACAGACATAGCAATCGGAAAATTCAACCTGTGCAAAACTGGAAATGGAATTTCAGAACTTCCTCCCCCCTCTTCCCTATTATTCTGTTGTCCTCCCTATTTCACTAAGTGGTAATTCTACTCTTTGGTTTCCCAGATCACAAACAGTCTGCTCAAACTATTCCTTTGCAGTAGACTGCTCCACCTTAGAAACAAGTCAACTGCCTTATCAGTTGGGACCATCTCTTGAGTTACCACCCTAATCCAAGTCACCTTGACCTTTAAACTGGATAGGCAAAGGCCTAGTACCAGCTCTGGTGTTAGCACTGCAACAGTCAATATAGCAATCTGATCTTTTTAATATCCTAGATTTAAACTACACTCAAGACCTACCTCAATCAAAGCAAAAACAGCTCTGAAAGCTTACAAGTGTCTACACAATCTTGCCCTATTTCTACCAGTGTATCTACTTCCCTCTCCACTAGCTCATTGTTTTCCAGCCAAATTGTTTTCCAAACAAATTTGAGGAGCAAATAAGCTTGTTTGCTCCACCTCTGGGCCTCTTTGGTAGAGCTGTGGCTCATTCCACTTACAGCTTCACCACTTTTAGGTTAGGTCTTCCACTGAAAAGTCTGTTTCTATGGCCACCACTTGACCTCCCACCCACCATCTAACATATACTTTTTTTTTTTTGGTCGGTAGTGGGGTTTTAACTCAAGGGCTGGGAGCTGTCCTTGAGCTTTTTCCTTCACAGACAGCTTCTACCACTTTGAGCTACAGCTCCATATCCAGTTTTCTGGTGGTCAATTGGAGGCAAGCATCTCACAGACTTACCGACCAAGGCTGGCTTTGGAACCCCGATCCCGAGATCTCAGCCTCCTAAGTAGCTAGGATTACAAGCCTCAGCCAACAGTGCCCGGCTTGACAGGTACTTTTTGATTCAATGCTTTCTCTTCCTCATCTCCAAAGTGAACTTCAGAGTGACATACTGTTCGATTCACACGACACACAGTAAATACTCAGTATTTGTTATTCAAAACCACACCTGATGTGTATTCACTATCTTAAAAGTCCACATCCATACAGCTCCTTCAGTTCATTTTTTTCCCAATTAAGATAGACTTAAATCTAGTGTAAAATCCCTCTCACTACCCTAAAGCCCACCCTTATTTTCAAAATTCAACTAACTACTCCTGGTATTAAATTACTTCAGTCATAATCCAGTACTCAAGCCTCAAGGACTGGAAAGATTTATCAGGTGAACTCTGGAAGGTCTTGGAGGTTCAACTGCTTCTTGATAAAGTCTCTAGGTTCTGATTACTGAAAGTATGCAGTGCTTTCTCGCCCTTCAGAAAAATCGAGAACCACCCAGTTCCTAGATTCCTTCTCGATGGCTGAGGAGTGTAAAAACAATCCAAAGTATAACTAACGACTGCGAAAGTGCTTTAGCAACAGAAAATGGCTTTGGTCGCATCAAATCTTATTATGAACATGAGATTTCAGAAATACCAAGGTGAGGATAACATTTCCTCATCTCGTATAAAATCGAAATGCCCAGGGAAATGTTTGAGTAACGACTTGAATTAATATTTGAACTGTCGAGCCAGGCACTCAACCTCCCTACCTTAGAAAGACACTGACACGCTGCCCAGGACTGACCGCACAAGGCCGGGCCAAGGGCTCCGGAGGCGGTGCCCGGAGACGCTCCGACAGCGCTACCCGGGGTGTCTCTTCCCACCTCCCCACCGTCCCCTACCGGGACCCCGGCCCGTGACCCCTGACCCGGCGTGCGCCTCACGCCCGCGCTCCAGCGCGCGCACACACACCTTCTCCGAGCGCCGGCTCCTTCTCGCTTCCCGCACCGGTGAAGTGGCACCGTCCCAGCACTGCCTGCTTGACCCACACAGTCCTGCAGAAACACGGAGACTAGGAGTCCGGGGAGCTCGCGCAGCCGCAGGAAAGCACCAGCACCGAGGTCCGAGCGAATCCCGCTGTACTTCCGCCCTCCGGTTCTCAGGGACTACAACCGGCGTCGACGCCGCGGAATCCTGGAAGCCCACCGCGAATCCAGTCACCCTGGACGCCCGAAGATGACGTCACGGGACCCCACGTGGCCTGCGCTCCGCCCTCGGAGCCCGGCCCAACCCCGCGAGGCTCCCGCCGCTCTCGAGCATGCGCAGATCAAGCGGGGTGTCGGGCGCTGTCGGGTAATGCGGAACGTCCCCAAAGACTGCAGGCTTTTCCCTGACCCTGGTCTAGTGCCAACACGTGGTCAGTGATGTTTAGAGGGGTTGAGGTAACATAACAAAGCGGTGTTTTGTTGTTGTTTTGTTCTTGTGCCAATCCTGGGGCTTGAACTCGGGGTCTGGGCGCTGAGCCCTTCTGCTTTTTTGGCCACAGCTCTACTTCCGGTTTTTTGCTGGTTAATTGGACCTGAGAATCTCACGGGACATTTCTCCTGGGTGGGTTGGAATCGGGATCCTCCGATCTCAGCGGGAACCACCAGCATCAGGCAGAACAGCATTAAAAAAAAATCCCAAGACGTTGCCTTCCCTGAGCCTTAAATCTCCTCATCACAAAATACTTGTGTAAAGTAAAACCTTAACTTTCAAAATGCTTTGACATGGGCGTCCTCAGTTAATCCTTCAATTTTATTTTTCTTTTAGAATTATGGTACAATAGCTGTATTTAATTGAAGGCTGAGTACTGAACCCCACACCTATCCAGAAGTGTCTGTCTTTTTCTTACTGTTTGTGAAGCAATTAATAAGCTTCTAAAGAGTATTTAAATTAGGTCTATCCAGGAGTCTTACTAGGTACTTAAGGTGTTTCTGGGTTTTGTTTTGTTTTTTGTTTGATGATCGTGGGGCTTGAACTCTGGACCTGGAAGCTGTCCCTCAGCTCTTCAGCTCAAGGCAAGGGCTCTACCACTTGCGCCATGGCGCTACTTCCGGTTTTTGGGATGCTCTGTATGCTAAGTAAATACTGGCAGACACTCAGAACAGGTTCTGACAGATAAGGAAAACCTTGGTCTCCAGCTTCCTGAGTGCTGGCATTATCGACCTGCTCCACCATGCCTAGCTGGCACTACAGGATTATTTAGAATCTTTCTGAAAGTTGTCTAGCTCAATGACTTTCAAATGGTTGGTTACTATCCACAGTTAGGGGAGCATAGCTAGCATCATTTTAAATGAAATAGTAATTGAAAATATAAACACAGTTCACATAGGTAAAAGGTAAATATTGTTTTCTAAAATGTTTGCTTAAGTATGTATGTAGTATCATTGGGTAAGACTTTGAAATATATATCTTGCCAGGTTCACATCTATAATCATAGCTACTTAGGAGCCTGAGATGAGAGGATCACAGTTGGAAGCCGACTTGAGCAGGAAAATCTGGGGACCCTTCAATTAACCAGCAAAAAGCCAGACATGGAGGTATGGCTCAAGTGGTAGGGTGCCAGCAATACTGGCACAAGAAAGAAAATGTTAGCCCCAAGGTGTGCATTTGCTGGAAATGTACATTCATTATAAAATTCTTTCAGTTAATCCTAGCTACTCTGGAGGCTGAGATCTGAGGATCATGGTTCAAAGCTAGCCCTAGGCAGGAAAGTCTATGATAGACTCTAATCTCCAATTAACCTCCATAAAACCAAAAGTGGTGCTGTGGCTCAAAGTGGTAGAGCACTAGCCTTGAGCGCAAAAGCTCAGGGACAGGGCTGAGAATGTGGCTTAGTGGTAAAGTGCTTGCCTAGCATAACTGAAGCCCTGAGTTCAATTCCTCATTACAGTTAAAGAGAAACTTCAAGGACAGTGCCCATGCCTGAGTTCAAGCACCAGGACAGGTGTGTATGTGCGTGCACACATGCACACACACACACACACATACACACACACACACACACACAAGCTCAGGGACAGCACCCTGGCTCTGGGTTCAAGCCCTACCACCTACCAAAAAAAAATTCTTTCGCCAGACACCAGTGGCTCATGCCTGTAATCCTAGCTACCCAGGAGGCTGAGATCTGAGGATTGTGGTTCAAAGCCAGCCTGGGCAGGAAAGTCCGTGAGACTTATCTCCAATAAACCACTAGAAAACCGGAAGTGGTGCTGTTGCTCAAGCGGTAGAGCACTCACCTTGAGCTGAAAAGTGTAGGGACAGCGCCCAGGCCCAGAGTTTAAGCCCCACAACTGACCCAAAACAAAACAAGACAAAAAAATTCTTTCAATTACTATACAGTTGAATGCTTTCCTAATCAGTTATTAAAGGAAAGCTTGATGCAAGTCCAAGTAACAAAGAATGATTACTCTGTCCTAAAATCCAGTTCTAGTGATGTTCTTTTCCCCCTGTATCCTTGATTTCCTTCCATCTCCCTTTCTCCAATCTCCAACCAACAAAAGAAATATCCAATCCCTGTTCTTCAAAACAGCATTGCAGTGGCTGGGAAGATGGCACAGTAGTAGAGCACTTGCCTTTCATGCATGAGGCCCTGGGTTCGATTCCTCAGCACCACATAAGCAAAAAGAAAAAAGCCGGAAGTGGCACTGTGGCTCAAGTGGTAGAGTGCTAGCCTTGAGCTGAAGAGCTGAGGGACAGCGCCCAGGCCCAGAGTTCAGGCCCCATGACTGGACCCCCCCCCAAAAAAAAAAAACCAGCATTGTAGATATGAAAACATGGCTCTGTATCTCATAACCCACCCAGAAATAAATATTGTTGGTTATTTCAGCCATTCTTCCCATGCCATATTTCCTCTTTGAAGGTGTTCCAGTTATCATTGTTTCCTTCACATAGCTCATGAATTCTTTCCAATCTGTTTCTGAATCTCCTTCAGCAGCTAAAAGGTGGACTTACAAGGAATTCCCTACTTATTTTTTGTTGTTTCCATGTGCTAATACGTGTCTTCCCTCCCAGTTACTGACACTGCATATTTCTTTTCTATGAAGATAACTTTAAGAGTTCTTTTTGAGGGGCTGGGAAGGTGGCTCTGTGGTATAGTGCTTGCCTCACATTCATGTGACCCTGGGTTCAATTCCTCAGCACCACATAAACATTAAAAAAAAAAAAGCCAGAAGTGGTATGGTAGCTCAAGTGGTAGAGCATGCGCCTTGAGATGAAAAGCTGAGGGACAGCATCCAGGCTGAGTTCAAGACCAATGACCAACCAAAAAAAAAAGTTCTTTTTGATGCCTAATTGAAAAGTTCTTATTTGGGGGCAATAGCTGCAGTGTAGGTTCTTGGGGTTTTTTAGTCCAAATTTAGTTGGCGTCAAGAAGTAGCCAGTAGCCGCTTCTGGTTTTATACTGGACTAGTCCCATGATGTGGGGATCATGCATTTCTGGTCTGAAGCATTCCTTCCTTAGACTTCACAGAGCAGTCATGTTGTACCTGCTGGGATTACTGCAAGATGGTATCATATGCATCACAATTGAGAATGTCACTGGATATGCCTATAGCTTTTGTTATATAATATTCTATTTTATATAAAATTTCATGGGAACAATTAGAAAACACATTTAAAGAGGCTGTTAGAGAGATTATAGTTTTTAAAAGGTTGAGGAGTATTTTCATAGACTACATGTTTGCTTCAGAGATGTCAGTCTGCGTTGAGCCTCTCTGGAGTTTGACAAGGGTTAGAGTGCCTCTTGTCTGTTGCTTGGCCTGGGCTTCATGTTTAGCCTCATTTTACTTGTTTAATGTCTTGACCAATTATGTATACTCAATTGGAGCAGAATAGAAGTCTTAAGTAAATGTACTAGACCCAAAAAAGGACTAGGTTTATTTTTAATCTTGTAAATAAAGTTAAAAGCCTAAATAAACACCATTCCAGTCTCTTAAAAAAAATAAAAATAAAAGGTTCTTTCTGAGGCAGGCACCAGTCACTCACTCGTGTAATCCTAGGCTGAGGTCTGAGGATCGAGGTTCAAAGCCAGCCCAGGCAGGAAAGTCCATGAATCTCTTAACTCCAATTAACCACCAGAAAACTGGAAGTGACACTGTTTAAGTGGTAGAGTACTCGCCTTAAGCTGAAGAGCTGAGGGACAGTGCCCAGGCCCAGAGTTCAAACCCCATGACTGACAAAGCTTCAGCTCATTTTGAGAGAATCTAAAGCAACCATTGTTTTTTACTTGTTGAAGAACTTTATAAAGTCCTGCTTTTTCAACAGATGTCACAAACATAAATCCTCCAAAATTCCGAACCCAAAAGAGAGACACCAGAGAAATCTTTGTTAATAATATGCCCTCTTTTCCTCTCACTGTAATAGTTTGCATTTGTAACATCTTTTATTTTTGTTAACAGTTTGTAATGTTCAGAACCAAGGAATATTTTTACTCTAATTTGCTTTCCTCCAATCTAAGTTATATCTCAACTTAACACCACACCACTATCATAATCACCAGTACCACCACCAACAACAACTGAACTCTAATAGGCCATTATTACAGTGGCAATGAATGTTGTGCTTCAGTACTAACTTCTTACTCTGTATGCTTTAAATAACTTGCCTGTCTTTCAAATTTCCCTCACTACTAGTTTCTTCCTTCAGCCTACAAGTGTTCAAGTGTTCTTTCATGCTATTAAAATCTTTCCTTCAACCTTCACTATTTTTTCTCTCCTCCGCTCTGTCTGTCCCTCCCTCCCTCTCTCTCATCTTTCCATCTTCTCCTTCCCTCCCCTCCCTCTCCTTCTCCTTCTTCTTCTCCCTCCACCCCCTTCAGTACTAGGAGCTCTATCATGAGCCATGCCTCCAACTCTTTTTGTTTTGTTTCTTTTTGAGATGGGAGTTTGATTTTTGCCTGGACTAGCTTGAACCTCAGTATTCCTATCTGTACTTCCATGAGGTGAACCCCATGTGACGCCTGTAATTCTAGCTGCTGCTTCTTCTTTTTTTTTTTTTTTTGGTGTGGGTCCTAGAGCTTGAACTCAAGATCTGGGTGCTGTCCCTGAGCTTCTTTTTGCTCAAGGCTAATGTTCTACCCCTAGAGCTACAACTCCACTTCTGGCTTTTTTTTGGTGGTTAATTGGAGATAAGAGTCTCACTGACTTTCCTACTTGGGTTGGCTTCAAATCGTAATCCTCAGATCTCAGCCTCCTG